CGTATCTTTCGCCATCTCCCTCTCTTCCTGTAATCTTCCCTCATTCCCTTTCTTCACTCAACGGGCTGCGCAGCCTTCAATTAAACCAAGGGGCAACCCATAACCAAAATCCTGCACTTTTTTCTTTTCTCTCATGGCCTCTTTCTCCGCTTCAAAGTCTTTTCTGCTTTCAAAGATTTCGACTGCTCCTGTTTCCATTTTAAGTTTTCTTTTTTAAAGGGTGGGGTTGTGATTTTCGCTTGGTTCTGTGCTGACTAATTCTTGTTTCTATTCTGGTTAATGCCGTCTGAGTCCTCCTTTTCGAGCCTATTAACTCTCTGCTTGAGGCCTTCAAAGCTAAAGCTGGAAGGCATACTAGTTAGTTTATTGGCTTGGATTTTGGTTCCAAAACCCGAATTCTCTCCTTTATATACCTTGTTTTGTGCGGTTATCTTTTCTTGACAACCTGTTTTAGTTTTCTTTTTCCCTGATAGAGGACAGGATCTTTCAGTAGTTTTATCAACTGAGCATTGTCCAATTCCGTCGTTTTTGGGGTCTAAGGCGTTCGATTACTTTTCAGTGTTTACACAGCTGGGTCTATAGCGGGCTATTCAAACATCAAAATCTTAAAACTGGGCAGTTTCAACTAATGTGAGAAAAGGGAGTCAAGTTGACTCCTTTGAGGTCTCTCTGAAATCAAAATGTCTGAGAATAATTATAGTTTTGTGGGCTGGGAGGAGCACATTATATGCCAAGAGCGCGGTAATCGTGTAGTTCACTTCTACTTGAAGGAAGCGTCGGGGCTTTTAGTGCTTGCAGTTGTAGGTACAGAGAGGAGCATAAGGCATATGATGTATGTTGTTTCCGGTGAGTTCTTGCAGGCTTATGGCTCCCATGGGTTCATCAATGCCAGTCCTAAATGGCGAGCAAGGCGGGAAGTTGTTGAATGGTTGCAATCATTGGTCTCAATGAATGGGCCCCTGCCAGGTACTTTATTTACTCCCTTAATTCGGAAATGATGGATCTCTCTTTTTCAAGATGAAAAGTAGCCGTAGCAGTTCTTTAGTTCTGTGATTTGGACCTGAAATGAAAATCCTGAACTATTGTTGAGACAGTTTCCTTAGGGAAGAAAAACGAATTTGAGAGTATGAAATCCTATGCACTCTATGTCATTGTTAGCTATCAATGGATAACATTTTTGGATTATATGATGTTTTGCTGCATTAGTACCTAAATTATGATATTGAAGTTTTGAACTTGGTTTACTAGGAAAGGTGTGGCTACCACTAGGCTATGCCCTGTTCTACTGGGGCTATATCTAGAAAGTTATAGTCTTCACATGGAAAAGTCCAGCACTTGGAAGATAATATGTAGGAATATGGTAGATTCTGCAGTGTTGCCAGCGTGTCACAATATTCTTAGCATTTAAAATTTGAAATATTAAGGCTAAGAAAATTCTAGAAGTTCAATAATTTTCATTTTAAACTTAGAGGGAGTCCAGTAAATTTTTCAAGTTGCATGGGCACAATCTTTTGGGCTGTTCCAACATGATCATTCTTGGAGTTGCTATCTCTGTTAAGGATATAATTAATTTGTCGTTCGTAGTCCTTCATATTCTACATCCAAGCAAATGATGTATGTTTGTTCAATATCTTTGATTGACTCAAGTTAATATATATTTGCAAAGTCCTCTAGCTTAAGGATTTAGGTACATATTAAATCTTCTTTAAAAATTACTCATTTACCAGTGTGTCTCTCTCTCACATGCACACATCAAATTTACTTGTCTTGATAGATCTCTCTTTTCTTCTTTTTACCTTTTCTGAATTTTATACACTAATCTTAAAAATAGGGCTTCGTTTCTTACTTAAATAGACATTTATTTATTCACCGTTTTCCTACTTAAGCTAGGATTTGTGTATGAAAATATAAGATCTAAGACTTCATATGGATGCTGCATTTGTGTATGCATACAATGAAAATGCATGTGCTTGGCATATATAATTAGTGGGAGTGGAGTGCTTCTACATTTTGTGTGTGTGCATTTCCTGGTTAATGTTTTATGTTTTTCATAAGAAGGCAATCAATAGTTTAAAGTAATCACATTCTAGATATTGTGTACTTTTCTCTGGAAATGTTGGAGATGCTTTCATCATTGCAGTAATTTCATTTGTTTAGTTGAGAAACCTTTTTGTGAAGAAATTAATTACCTGAGATTATATCACCAAGGTTTTCCAATTGAGGCTGGTTACTTTAATTGAATTAGTGGAATATATGCTCATAATTTATTGACGCATTATTACATTTTAGACTTTCTGCTCAGAACAATGTCGAATAAGCGATAACTTTTGATATTTGTGTCACTATTCAATTGGCAGAAGGGGCTACCATTATAGCCTTGTCGGCAGCCTGGTTTTTTGTTTCTGATTTTTTTGTTGTATTTTTAATCATAGATGAAAAGCTTAATAATATTAGTTCTTAAATGATGCTTGATACAACTACTCTGAAAATCTTGAGAAAGTCTAATCCTATTGCTGCAGATTTGCAGATGGATGATTCTATAAGAGGCTTTGGATCTTTTGAAGTATCAATGACTGGGCCTCTTGGTTGTCGAACCTGTTTACCACATCATATGGTATGCAGGTCCCATTGGCATTTATGCTGTTTCTAGATTTTATGCCGTTCTTTTTCTCTAGAGCTTAAAAGTTTTATTGCAAATCCAGGTTGGTAGGAAACTGAAAGCGCAAAATTCTGACATTGAGTGGTCTGGCATTGCTTGGATTTGTGCAAAACAGCTGAAACACTATTCATCTTTTTGCAGGAATGGGACCACCATAGCTGTAAGTACCAACATATTGAAGTGGCAAGCTTGTTATGGGTTATTGGGATAAATTCTATTTTTAAGCCTCTTTCAAATATTCAAGATTTATTCTCTCCCTCTCCGCTTCTGCCAGGTTCACTCTTTTGTTTTTATAATGGCTGAAGAAGAAAATCCCTACCTAGGATACTTGGAAGATATGTATGAAGATAAAAAGGGCCAGAAGAAGGTGAAAGTGCGGTGGTTTCATCACAATCGAGAAGTCAATGGTGTAATTCCTCAGCTGAATCCTCATCCTAGAGAAGTCTTCATCACACCTAATGTTCAAGTTATCAGTGCAGAGTGTGTCGATGGTCTTGCAACAGTCCTGACTCCTGTACATTATGAGAAATGTGTGGCCGTTGTCCCTCAGACTTCACAATTGGCTGTCCATATGTGCTTTAGGCAGCTTAAGAATAACAAGGTCAAGCCCTTCACTCTTACCAAATTACGGGGATACTCTAATCAAACAATTCTCTCTTCTTTAGGTGAGCCAGTTGTCCCTAAGCAAAAGGGCAAGAACCGTAATTCTCATGAGGAAGATAAAAGAGCACTGACATTTGATGATTCTGTAAGGGTAACTGCTAAGAGAAATAGAAGTTGTGAGGGGCAAGCTGGACTTGAAAGTGTTTCTGGTGGCAGAAATTCAGTCTCAGTCCCTGCATATGAGATTATGAAATATGAACCAATATATCCAAAGTTCAAATTAAGGTTTTCAAGGAAAACAATGGGTATTGTGTCACAGCCCCAACATCCGCTGTCTTTCAAGGTGGATGAGAAAATAGAGCTGCTTTCTCATGATAGTGGCATTCGAGGCTGTTGGTTTAGGTGCAAGGTCTTGAAATCATCTCAGATGCATTTGAAAGTTCAGTATGATGATGTGCAGGATGCTGATGGGTCTGGTAATCTAGAGGTAAGCAAATTTCCCAATGAGACACATAATAATGACAATGATACGGTGATCTTGAGTTTTTCGGAAAAATACATTTCTCAAGTTTGTGGAAGATATTCACTTTCCTTCCACTGTCAGAAATGTGGAGAAAATGGTATATTTAGGATAAGAAGTGCAAAGAAAATTGAGAATGCAAGAATGGCATACTTTAACTAGAGTTTATCTCTCTTTTTTTGTCACTCTCCCTATCTAGGATCTGATATTTTTAAATTTGTTTTTACATGCAGGAATGGATCCCTGCCTCCAGAGTTGCAACACCTGATAAACTTGGTATGAGATGTCCAGGCCGCTTGACAATCCGGCCGTGCCCTCCCAAGGATACTACTACAGCTTTTAAAATTGAGATTGGAGCAGCAATTGACTTGTGGTGGAGTGATGGATGGTGGGAAGGTGTCACAACTAGAATTGGCATCTGCGGTGATGATGATCTGCAAGTTTACCTCCCTGGTATGCTTCACGGCTAGATGTGATGTATTCATCCTTTAAAAGATCTTTACTTTTGAAAAAAAGAAAAAACAAAAATGAAATAATCATCTGTGATTTATTATGTTCCTAACCATGTAGCATTTGTTATACCGTCATTAATCAATTATTGTAATTATCTGAATAGGTGAAGACAAGTTTCTGACTGTGCAGAGGGAGAATACCAGAATTTCCAAAGATTGGGTTGATAACAGATGGATCGATATAAATGGGAGGCCAGACATACTATCGTATCTATCTTCAAATATCAGTCCTAGCATGAAGCCTTCAATGTGCTCGGCTATGGTGGAAGCATCTGGCTGTGGTAGCATCGCATCAATGGAGCACAAGGTCCTCACCACCTCAAAACTTGAAGCTGTTAAGGAAGATGAACAGGAATTACCCGGGCCAGCCACATGTGATGATTCAGAAGACATGAATGCAATGAGATTGGAAAAGAGACGTCATGACAATGATAAAGATGAAAGTAATGAAAGAGGAGGGGCTGCTTATGTTGAGGGGAAAGAAGAGTTTGATAATGAAGGCAATGGTGGTAACAGGAGTGAGTCATATTTGGAGGAAGAGTTGGACTGTGCCAACAAGAGATGCCAAACTGTGGAGTGAGTGGCTGGTTTGGTCAACATGGAGGTTCGACTTGGAGAGCGGGTGAGTGTCGAAGGTGGTTCTAGGGGTTGCTGTGAATAATAGGTATAGGTACATGTGAAGGATGATTTGGCATATGTTTTTAGTATTTTTTGGGATAATAACAATGGTATAGAAAAACAGTTAGAATTTAATGGCTCAAAATCAGGTCAAAATATGTTAGGTTAAAGAGTTAATATAATCCGTTTAAGGTCGGTGTAGCTTCGTTCATTATTAGGGATCAATTACAGGTATAGTTACAACTGTAAAGGTTCACCCCAAGACTACTTCGCCGGACCAAATAGAAATATTTTTTTTTTGAAGATTAAATATGTGGTGTATTTATATAAAAAAGAAAATATTGGTCGGTAAAGATCAAATCCTGTACAAGAAAAAGAAAAGAGGCAAAAGACCAAATAGAAATATTTAAATGGTTATTGTCCTTTAAATAAAAATTGGAGAAGTGCAACAGGTTTTTGTCAGTTTTTGAATGTGCATGATCCGAACAGTTTTCCTCCATCCGATTATCGAATCAACCGTTTGCCACCATCCAGATGTCTTATGATTAACGAATCCCATCACTACGTCATTTGTAATAGAGATATTACTATCACTAATTCCAGCGCCTCTAGTCATAATATTTCCAGCCTTTTACATACGAGCCTTGTTAGCTTTAAACATTCCACTGCAGTAATATACCTTTCCCATTTGTTAAACCTACTTATACTTGCACTCAGCAGTACACCCCACTTTCAAAAAGTCTAAAAGTGGCGACAGTTACATTCCTTTACAAAAAGCATCGGTTAACTTAACTTGTTACATATCAAATACAATACAATGGCCCTAAACCTCAAAATGTTAACCCTGATGTACACACCACTTTCAAAATGTCCTGAAGTGGTGACAGTTACATTCCTTTACAAAAAACAACGGTTAACTCCTTACATATGTAAAACTCAAAAAGTAGCACAAGTATGATCAGAAGCATCATTTTCCAGTCATATTTCTCCATTTGTCCTTAAGGTCACCCTGAGCAAATATAATACATCTTTACATCAATAGAGAACACATTGTAAGAGCCAAAGAAAAAAAGCTGCATATAAGCTTGTAACATACTTACTGCAGTTCTATTTACAAACTCTAGAGGATAGGCTCTTAAAATTTGAGCCCAATGTGATCCATACCTTCATTTTGAAAAGAACAACAATAAGAAACAAGGTTATAAATTAACAAAAGTAATTCTAATCCCATATTTGCTAACAAACAGCAACAACTACTACGTAAAAATTCAGAATATATCTAGTATGCTAAGAGGATTATAGACCAAAATAAGGAACACAGGACCTCCAGTATAACACACTTAACAGATTTTGCAAACTTTTTCCTTAACATTAATCACTTACTTGCGCACAGCCTCTGCCAGAACTTCTTCTTCATGTAAGCTCCACCTGTGTATTTTTCTCCTCCTTACCCACTTTTTGTTTTCATACTCCTTCAGTGGAGATGCAGGCTTTATCTTAGGACTGGGTAAGCGACATCTGGTTGAACCACCAGATGATTCTTGAGAAGAGCCATCAATTGAATCCTCCCACTAAAAAAATAATCAACAAGTAAGATTAGACATGATTCCCACTGCAGCAAAAACGTTATATCTATGTAATGTATCTTTTTAAGTTGCCTATGTATTGTTAGCCATTCATTATAGATAATGGTAAAAGCTCATTCCAAGATTACAAAAATTATCAAGGCTGGTAAGCAAAAATTGATTTCAGTAATGCAGTGCACATTCAAATACACACCTCATAAGTGCGAGCAGTCCCATTCCTTTCCATTAAGCTAGGTCTAGGAGCTTCATTCTGATGGATGGAAGCTTGCCTTTCATGATTGCCCTCCTTAGCTAGAGCAGGTTCTGTAGTAGGATTGACAGATGAAGGAGGATCACTCTTGTCCTTAGTAGGATTGACAGATGGGGGAGGAACCCTCTTGCCCTTCTTACTGTGGTCTTCCACAATGGCCTCAGCACGCAAATTTTCCCCTCCTGTGTCAGATGCTACCCTCTCAGCTTGAGCAGATGCCATAGTAGGATTGACAGATGTTGCAGGAACATCTTTATTCTTATTTCCATCTTCCAGAATGGCTTCAGAACGCAAGGTTTTCCCTGCCCTTTCAGATGCAACCTTTTCAGCCACTTCTAAGACTTTGGGGAGGGGATCAGTTACTACAGCTAGCAAGTCAGCTGTACTGGTTTTAAGTGCCTCTTGCACTTTGTTAACTTCAGAAGTTGACAAGGAGGCAAATTTGCTGTAAGACGGTTGCTGCTCCTCCTTTGAGTCAGCAATTTCAACAGGTACTTTATAGTGCCTGTGGGGAACACCAAGCTTGCATCTTCTTTGTGGATTCACTCTCAGAATCCCTGCAGAACCAAACATATGCACTTGGCCAAGGTAACTGGAGCAAAATAATGGACACACTATGACAAAGATCACCACACTTTAAACTTAACTGCGTAAATTTAAGCACAATGACATGTAGCAAAATAAACACAGAGAGATGAGTCGATTCATACATTCTCAGACCAACAAAAATCTAAGCTTTTACATGCAAATACTGGTAGATAAAAATGAAAAGAGAATAGAAGCCTACCTTTCCCTTTGTCAGTGCCACGGTGAGGACGACAAATGGCTTGAGCAGCAGCCAATGTCAATTGAAGGAAGGCCGGCTTCATCGAGGACCGGGCCTCCTCAACGAAAACCCTAAGACAGCGCAAGGCGTCATCGCGAGTATTGATCCGCAACAACCTCTGAGACGCCTCGGAATCCCAAAGAGCGGCTTCGACTTCCTTTCTCCACTTGTCTAAATCAGGCCCAACGAGTTCGCTGCTCGCGGAATCCTCCAAAATTCGAATTCGGGTTCTCCAAATCCTCAGAATCGAGTCGTAATAACAGGGCCAAGAGCGGGTCAAGGACGCTAGAGTGCAGTGGACAGCAACGGCGCAAAAGGCAGACTTCATAGAGTCAAAGACGGGGAGGCCCTGCTTGCGGTCGACTTGTTCGATTAGTAGCAAAGAATCAAGAATCTCTTCAGCGACTGATCCATTGGCGATTCCCTCTTGAATGGAACGCACGATGAAGGCCTTTTTGAGGAGACAGGTGGTGGAAAAGTCGCTCTTGCTCATATTCATCTCGTCCTCCTCCTTTAACAGAAATTTTCTAAGCAGGGAAGAACAAGCGACGGGAAGGTGAACAAGAAAGAAATCATCCATCTCACCCAGCGCTTCTGTGTAACCACGTTTTCCTATTCCTCCACGGCTTAGAATAGAATTGAATTGAATTTATACCCTATCAAAATACTACAGGGTGGCGTGGGAAATTGGTAAAGATCACTCCTTTTTCTTTTATATGAACTTTTACTGTCAAAGCATAAATTTTTACATTTTAACTTTTACTATAAGTTCTTTTAACAATTTATTATATACAAAAGTCGAATGATAAGAAGAAAACAATGATTATAACATAAGTAAATCATCATTAACGATAAGCATATTATATGCATCTATAAAAATATTACAAATGAAGGTAACGTCAATAAGCATAATACTTTATAAGTTCATCACACAAACAAATAATCGTATATAATCTTTTGACATCAATAATAAAAAATTCTGTAACACGTTTAGTAATACTAATTTGACAATTAATGATATTTAAGACATAATCTTACAATTTTAGAATAGACAAATATTATTCATTAGCGTCACATCATGATTCTATGAAAAAAATGATGATATTTGTTTTAGATCAACAACAATAAGGAAAAAAAGAACCATAAACGGTAATAAGTTATTTATAGATATTTCTCAACAGTTATAGACTAATAGGAGTAATCATTAACTCATGGTCATGGATTGATACAGCTGAGCTGTAGGACGGTAAACAATACTTTAAATTACTCCATGCTTAATGGAACAAACACTAGACTGTTATAATTTCTGTGGTTCTAAAACATAAACATGGTGAATCTAAACAAAGGTCCAAGTAAATAAAAAGAGTTCAAGAAATGGAAATGTTACTGCTAGGAAGCAGTAGAAGCTAAACAATGTGATGTGAGATCAAATTGGGAGTCATGGTGGAGCAATCCCCTTCTTGACCAACATATCGTAAACTCTATCAGTCTTGCTTGGGTCCAGCTTGAACAAGCGATGAGCATCAGATTTCTTGGTGACATTGCCATTGAAGATCTCTTCCGAAATGATCTGTAGCATCCTTAAATACAGAGGTGGAGGCAAGCGAATCTCACCACACAGCCGCTTCTCCTGCCACAACCAGCATATCAATCAACACAAATGGGCATCAGTTAATGACTCCAACCAAATTACACTTAAGTATAAGAGTGCATGCAGATTGCAACCAAACTCCTGCATCAAGGCTAAGGATGTCAACAGTTACAAACAACAACCAATGCTGTAACTTCTGAATGCTATCGTTTAAAACACAGCTTCAAATCAGACCAAATTGTAGAAATTAAGAACAACATTCTTACAGCTTCAGACAGTAGTTGTGTTTCGCTAAATCCCATTATGTCCAAATCAGTAGCAAAGCTTGAAGAAGCCTGCGCCGTTGGTCTTGAATTTGAGTCCTTGGCTACAGACTCTGAAGCCATGAATGAGTTTGGGCCCCCCTGCCCACTTGGATTAACTTGGACACCATCTTTTGCTCTATGAGAACTCTCTTCAGCTTCCCTTTTCCTCTTTAGTTCGAGATATCGATCTGCCTCAGCTGATGTACGACAACCAGCTGCTCGGGCTTCCTGCATATAATTATTTCCCATGAACAGCAATCAATGACAATATTATGAAGATTGCATATTTAAATGAGGTAGAAAGGAAGGAAGAAGAAAGTAGCCAAGCAAATCAGTGGGCCATAACACAGCAATACCAGGCATAAATCAAACCTTGAGTTCTTCAATTCTTTTTAAAGTCCGGTGCTCAGCAACAATAGTCTGAAGCAAATCCTCATGTTCTTCCTTTGAAAGAAAGCGCATGAAGACATCATAACGTCGACATAGTGCAATCTCCTCAGGAGTTAAGTCTTTTTCAAAAGGATTGGGATATAACAAATTTCGTTCTAGTATGAAATCCTTTCTACGCTTCCTCTCATCCAGCCTGACAGTAAATACATTTCAGCCATGGGCTAAAGAACATCTTCCCATTAAGTAATATCGAAAAAGTTTCTTTTTTACAGAGAATCTAAAAGGGAATCAATTAACAAATATATTGAGGCTGCCTACCTCTTTGAATAGATACGCAACACTCGCAGCTTAATCTCACGCTCTTCCTCGGTGTCAGTGTCCTTAAATTCCATATCAGCCAGTAACTGCTCAGCATCATTGTCATACTCTGGATCAAACTCTTGCCTTTTGGGGTTATAACCACTCAACTCAACTAGACCATCATTTCCCAAAGAATTAGGCTTCTTTCCCTTTCTGTCCATTTGAGGATCTACAAGACAATAACAATCAGCTTACTTAGCACCAGGAGCAGTGTTTCAGAATGCACTCAGAGACAGTCGAGGACTCATTAGGATGACAACATTAAACTTTGATTTATTGGTCATAAATGCAAAATTGGTCATCATGCCAGCCTGACTGTACCAGAAGTTCTTAGCATGCATGAAACTACAAATGGCTCAGTTGCACATGGGCTATACATTACTGGAATAATGATGGTACATAGGAACTCAGAAAAAGTAAATGATATCAGACCTTCCATTTTAACATTGCCATCTTTAACCTGGGCCATGTTTGATGCCTTGCTAACAGCTGCTGGTGCTGTACTGCTGCTGCTAGAACGTACCCCAGACTCTACATCTAAAGTTTACAGAAACAAGGCAGAGAACACAAGGTTCATAGTGATGAGATTAATTGTGTACACATTGTATAAATCACAACTACCTATGAATAAATGAAGAATCTTCCAGCAGGCAAAGAAGAAAGAATAAATCAAGGCTCACCTGCATTTAAGCCAGAGAGTAATCGGCCCGAAGGACCACCTTCAACTCTGGGTAAATTAATAAAATTCACATAAGAAATAGCAAAGGTGAACAAAGATGATACAAATAAAGAGGAGAATGGTAGTCATACTTGACTCTTGAAGGTGAAAAAGGAGATTCTTCTTTTACTGTCAGCTCCCCAAGCATTGAAGACCCTGAGACATTCAAAGAAATTACTGATAAGAATTTGCATTAAGAAAAGGAATCAATCAATAATCACGTAAAATTCTGTGACACGTGTAGCCTGCCTTGAACCATGTTCACTCTTTCTAGAGATAAGCATTATTCTACCACATAAATACATGATAATTTCAAGCAAAATGGAAAGAACATATTGTTGAGGATTATAAAAAGGAGAATAACTATTATTCAAAAAAAAAAAAAGGAGAATAAATGAAAATTGACACTAACCTTTCTTGTCCTCACCATGCCCTTTAGCCATTGCAAGAAGCTCTTTTCTATTTTTTCCAACAACATGAGACATGTCCTTTAAAGAAATAAATTTTTCAAAGCTTAATTATGTTCATTAAAAGGCACAACTAAAACGAGAATTGACAGTTTTAAACTTTCATACAGGAAGAGGAAAGAATGGGGACTTCATATAAACATTATCATAGTGTTCAATGCACTTTTCCTTAGTCTTTGTCCCAACATGCTCAGCAACTTCCGCCCAGTTTCCGAGGCCATACATTTCAATTCCCTAGGATTAGGAAAATTAAAACTGAATCAAGATTGATTGCCTTAATTATTCCACATATGAAATGAAATGCAGTACCGAACAAATCAGGAAGGACCAAACACAACTTTCTTCACTGTTTTAGCATTGAAGATGAAAATAGAAATACCTCTAGAAGCAATATTTCATCATCTGCATTCCAGTCAGGACAGATAAGAGGAAAAGATAAATTGTCCTGTTAATCAAGACTCTGTTGTCAGCACTGAATCAGAACAAAACAGAAGATACAACAACAGGTATGTAATGCAGAATAAATAAGGAAGAAAAAATAAAATCATGCAATAGAAATTGCTTCAACAGTGCTAAATGAATGTAAAAGATTTGGTTAACAGATTTTCTCCAGCACAGGAAAAAATTCATCTAAAGCCTATTCATTAACGACAAAATCAAGCAAAAAACTTGACAATATAGTACGTTATCAGGAAGGGAAAAAGATGTTTCCAGAAGGCTCTTACTAACCATGACCCGGTAAGGATGGTTGCTTTTGTGAGGTGTAACCTCAGCACCAACAGAAAAGCACTCTATGCATAGGTCAAAATCAGGACACACAGCACACTTGATACGGATCTTTCCTGTGATGTCTTTGTTGCAATAATTGCAGTGGTATAAAGCCCTTTTCCCATCATGTGTTCCTTGACCTAGCTCCAAACAGATATAAATGGAAAATAAAACGTAAAAAGGTCACAATAGCTTGTGAATGAACAATGACAATTACCTCCAAAGGCTTAATGGTAAAGTGTAAAAGAGTACTCTGAAGAACTTAATTATTTTAACTTCTTAATAAAGGGCCTATAATTTTTAAATAATCACAAAACCACCAGTAATATGCCCTCTATATAGCATCTTATAATAATAATAAGCATCTAACCATTTATTAGAACTTTTACCCATACAATATATGCATAGCCAAGCTACTTTGGGCAGAATTACAGGTCAATTCTTAGCAACTCTAGCCAGGTCTCAACTAAAGATAGAATATTGCAAAAAAGAATATCAACCAAGTGATATGAAGCATCAACTTTACTATGTCTCTGGTTGCACACTCTCCACATTCAGAGGGTCTTTTACCCACTTACGGTCCCACTAGGTCCTAGAAGGGGTGATCTGGAAAGATTCCAAATATTTAGCAATTTATTTCCCTCATAAAATGGCCAGTGTTGTTTCTTGAAACTGCTACTGGACTTGTAGCCAAAGACCTCTATCACTGCACTGGAAAATGGCCATTAACAGTCTCCATGATTGCACTAGCATTAAATTTTCATCAACAGATAAAAACACAGATATCGTGGTTCACTCTGAGAGGGACTACATTTTGAAACTACATGATGGTGGAAAAGTACCTGAAGATGAAGATTCTAAATTTTCTCCAGCAGATGCATTCTTTTTTCTCCTTGATCTGCATTATAAAAAAATGGGTATTTAAACGAAGCATGCCAAAAAGAGATATGTAAAAGACTCATTAACCGACTATATCACAATAAGAAACATAAAGAAACAGATGCTGCTAATCCAAGTAACCATTAATTGTTACACAACCACAGGGGGAAAAAGTTGAAAGCTGTCAAAATGAGAGCAACACAACAGATCTCCATCCTTTGTAATCATAAACATTCATTACTGTAATAAAGGAAATTAGATTCTGAGTATTTAGGATTCTCCATAAGAAAGAAACCTTAATAGTTAATGAAACAATCATTTATAATTATATGGCAGATGAGATAATCAAATTTATCAACACCAACTGAAGGAGACGAGAGAAAAATCAATTCATAACAGCAATTCTATATACGAGACTGTCGTAGTAAATAAACACATGATCATTATCCCTAATCATGGCCTCTGTTCACATTATCACTTTATTCTCAAATTATTAGTATCAACGAATTCCGTGAGTTGAATTTCCATCTTGCAATGTATTTGCGCAGCGAAGAAAACATCTTAAGCAGCCCCTTGTGCCTTTTTCCAACTCAAAAATGAACTAGCTAAAAATGAAACAGTTCAAACTCAAACCAACATGTCAAATTTCTGAAAAGCAGTCTTAGCCCTTCACCATGCAAAGCTCAAAGGCAGATAATTTTGAAACGATTATACAATTCAAGACAATGATTCTTCAAAAAGAAAAATGGGAGAAGAAGGCAAACCTCTGGGTGGGGTCCTCATCAGCAGAGTGAAAATTCCCGCGAGAACGACCCATTAGAAGTTGAGCGAGCTCCCGTTTACCTGTATAATTAAGCGTTTCGGTTTTGCTTACTAGCAACAAACAGCAGAGCCTGGTATTTATACAGCAAGACTGAACCCTAGTTCCTCAGGAAAGTGTAAAACTTGGACGAGGAAATTTGGTAAGTACAACAACCTTACAAAAAAGGGTGATGGAATTTGATTGGGTTTTGCTCAAATTCATAAGTTCTTTCAGATTTGTTGAATCTTTATCAGGATTCAGCATTGAATGAGTTGAGTTTGTTTCTATCTATACAACATAGTCTACTAATTCACTGGCAGCAGATTTGCATACTGCCAGACAACATTTTAAGCCTTCAACAAACTCATATCTACAAACACAGGAACAGAAACAGAAACAGAAACAGCTGAGTTTCACCTCTTCCCCCTTTTTTCCATTCTGTTCTGTTCTGTCTGGTTCTTATAGCTCTTAAGTGTGCGAGGTATGATTAAAAGGCAAAGTGTCTTTGTTTAGGAAAGAAACAGCGACAGATTCCTTTCCATTCCCCTCCCCCAACCCCTTCTCTCGCTTGGGTCCACTTAATCTATTAACTCAAGATATTTTTTTAAATTTGACTTTATAATTAAATAATTTTTTTAATCATAACGAAAAATTGATACTACTATTAAACAAAATAAATTATTTTATAATTTTTTTAATTTTACTGTAATTGAACAAAAACAATTTAATTGTACTAAATTTAACAGACCAAATCCAACTATTTAATGACAGTTCCTAGTGAAAATTGTACGATCAAAACTTTCATCTTTTGTGGTTTAATTACACTTGTTCATTATTGTTTAAAAAGAATAATACACAATTCATTCAAATGAAAGAAAACAAACATACTCTTTTCTTTTTTTTTCTTTGTTATTTCTCAAAATAAATTCATTTTTCTTTTTTAAACACTTAATACTCTTACCTTTTATATTATAAATTTATTTTTCATGTGTTTTTTCTGTTCACTTTTTCCATATTAAGAATCATTAAACATATATATTATTAAAAAAATCAACTTTTAATATAAATTACATTAAAACTAAAACTTTTTTTATTCATGAAAATCAAACAAAGACAATAAAAAAAATTCAAAACGAATTGTACGTATCTTTAAAAGTGTCATTAATTATTGGTTAAAACTTTAGACAATCTTTAATTTTTATTTCTTTTTAAGTCTTGCCTTCTAATTTAGTGTCAATAAGATGATTTTCTAAAGTAGATATATATATATATATATATATATATATATATAAAGAGAAAGAAATATATATGTTTATGTGTACATACCTACTGTGTTTCTCCTCCTAGGAGGTGCAGCTGATGATCCTGCTGCTTTGGCCACGGGAGGCTTCTCGTTGATCGAAGGCCCTGATATCTGCACTGCGGTCTCTGAAACCTCATTGTTGACATCAACCCCTTGGATTGATATCTCCATAGCAACCAAAGTTGGCGCTGCAGCCATCGACCCTTGATCACCATCACCATTACTTAACTTCGGAGTGGATTTCATTTCTGCAGGCTCCTCGCTTGCAGATGAAGATGGTGGCATTCCTGGCGGTGTAGACATAATCTTTAGAGTGAGAGGATGAAGTGTTTTTTCTCGGGAGTGTATATGAATGTGATGGTGCAGCACTTGCTGGAAGAAGAACAAGTGAACCAGGAAGAAGACTGAAGGGGAAGAGAGGATGAGAATTTTAGACAATGAGAGTTGTGTGCATGAACAAAATTATTTATATCACTTGAATTTGGTTGGTGGGTCAATGGAGCAAGACAATGTAATAAAATTTATTCGGTGTCTTACCATCTAATTACATATTTACTTAAAGTTTCTATAAAAGTGTAATCTAACGATAGTTATCACAGAATTTTATTTTTATTCATATATATTCATGTATATATTAACGACGTTTTAACGATTGTTGAACTACCTGACATATAATACGTTATTATTATTTTATCAAAAGTAAAAATAAAAAGAGTGTAGATTCATTGCTATAAATGCATAATCTATACCTTTTTTATATCATTAATTTAAAATTATCTCCATTTATTTCATTGTCCAGCTCTTCGTGCTATCAAATGTGTATTTGATGGTGGAAGGGATTGGAGGGAGGGGTGAAACCTAGTATGAAAGTAAAACAAATCATTCAAATGATATATGTATATATATATATATATATATGCAATGTTATATTCTAATATAATATAAAAACGGTCCACACGTTCTTGACCACAAAGTCAAAGCATAAACAAAGGTGTAACTCTATCACTCTTATTACAAGCCAGTTTCGGACTCAAACCCAACTTCAAGACCCAGACTTTTTGTTTCTCCTACAGAGATAGAGGGCCTGACAAAGTCCAAGGCAAAAAGGGAATAATAAATAAAAACAGACTTAACAGAGAAGATTGAAGCAGCCCTGCTAGAAATTTCCTTTTGCATATTGATTAATATGGTCGTGTTGGCTCTTGGCTTGTGGCCCAAGCAGCTTCCATTCATTCCTCAATGTTGATTCTGCTAGACCATTCAAGGAGTCCTCCATCGTCATTCCAAACGTCATCGTTGTCTCGACTCTTTCCACACCTTGGTCTTATTGCATTACTTTATTTGTTTCGTCTCATTTCCAAGCAGTTCCTTGTCATTCCATCCAATCGCTAATGCATGGAGCTCCAGCTAATATATATAATCCTTGCAGTATCGTTACTCTCCTCACGGCTGTTTACTGCTAACTAATTAAGATCAACAGTCTCAGCCAAGCATCGTCTCTCAAAGTTACTCTAAGTCAATGGCAGCATGCATCGACAATCCGAAAGGTGAACCTGCCAACAAGTGGTGTTGCTTAAGATCCAGCCAACGCCTAGCCCGTTGTTCCCTTTGCAGGTTTGCCAAAGCATGCGGACCAAGTTTCTCAAATCTTGTTTCATGCAGAGCAATCAACTGGGGTAGCGTGAAAATTCCGGATACAACAGTCTGTCCCTGTGACGAGGATGAGGACGATCTGTGGGTGAAAATTAGGGAGAAAGCTCAATCTGATGCAAAACAGGAGCCTATCTTGTTGAATTATTATTATTCTTTGGTACTGTCACACAGTTCTCTGGAAATTGCGTTGGCGAACCACCTGGCGATGAAACTGAGTAATTCGACTCTTTCCAGAGATGCAGTTTTCAAGGTTTTCTTGGAAGCTTTTGCTGAGGATCACGAGATCAAGAGTGCCATCAGAGATGATATAAAGGCTACAAGAGAGCGTGACCCTGCTTGCATCAGTTATGTCCACTGCTTCCTACACTTCAAGGGGTTCCAAGCTTGCCAAGCTCATAGAGCGGCACACAAACTGCGGTCGCAGGGTAGGCTCAGCTTGGCGCTTCTAATACAGAGTCGGGTTTCCGAGGTTTTTGCAGTAGACATCCACCCAGCGGCGAAGATTGGACGGGGAATAGTACTTGATCATGCCACCGGAATTGTGATCGGAGAAACGGCAGTGATCGGGGACAATGTCACCATTCTTCACAATGTCACATTAGGTGGTACAGGAAAAGTTTCGGGAGACAGGCACCCCAAAATCGGTAATGCAGTCCTGATAGGAGCTGGAGCCAAAATTCTGGGCAATATCAGAGTTGGAGAAGGGGCTAAAATCGGTGCAGGTTCACTGGTTCTAAAGGAGGTGCCACCACATAGTACAGCTGTAGGAAATCCTGCTAGAGTACTCACCACCCCGACCGTTCAGGCGAACAGAGAACACGTAAACCAGTGAAATGTCTGGTTCCGCCTGATTTGATTTACTAGAACTTTCTAGTACTAGTAGAATTTTGTTTCCACTCATTCATATGTTTCCCATTACTCTATAATAATTCTTTTCCTACAACATACCAGAGTTCGCCCCCAAGGCAATTTTATGTCAATATGCATTTTGCCAATCAACTAAAATATAATATACCAGCCTTTTTGTCTTAATTAATAAGCCTAATTAGTAATTTCATACATAATTTAAATGGGACAACACTTTTGATTACAATTCCAATAGATAGGAACAAGGTCTTGATGTAATAAATGGAATTATCATTGTTTAAACTAGTATTATTATTTTTTTAATGATATAATTATTGTGTCTGAAATTTATTTATGGAGAATATTTCAAAATTTTTTTACAGAAGATTGAACGATTAAATTCAGAAAAACAAGATAAAGCATAGAAATTGACTTATTTTCAATTAATCATTCTCTTTCTATGTATAAATATTTGTTTAGATCAAAATCTGAGATTAAAATGAGATAAAAATGCAAAAATCAACATTAAGTTAAGGCCAAAAATTTAAAACAGGGTAGAGGAGTTCAATAAAAGCAATGCCCGCGCCTTTCACGCCAAACAACAATTTGAATTCAGACAGCGCCACGCAGCCCACGTCAGCACGTGCCTTCATTACAAATCAAAATTCAAAAATTCTCTGACAAACAAAATCTTCTTCCTTTCCTGAGTCCTTACAACCCTGGAACTTACCAGTTTCAACCAAACAAAACACTTGCACAATCCCAACAGACCAAAGGCAGCCGAGTTGCTGTTCGTGTTGGATTAAATGGCCACGCGCTACAAGTCGTACGATGCACGCTCCTCCACCTCCTCTCATTTCTCTGATCCCTCGTCGTCTATGGAGCTCATCAAGTCCTTTTCTCGGAGGCCAGAATCCTCCTCCTCCTCCTCGTCTTCCTCTCGAGCTCTCGTGAAATCAAAGCCGTTGGATGTAGGCCCGGGCAGCCGCAGCAAAACCAAGGCTGACCACAATCTGGCGAGCATGGTGAAGAGATTTATGGACAAGAAATCCACGAACAAGACGATTGGGCAGGGGCAGCTGGTCATTCCGTCCGATGTCCTAGCTGAGGATCTCCAGAAGGCTGCAAGGAAGGGAGCTGCTTTCACGGCGTTGCAGAGAAAGCTGTTCGGAAAAGGTTCTGCCGACAAAAAGGAAGTGAAGGCCTTGACAGAGGTTAAAGGGAATACCAGGACGTTGGCCATGGTTTTGAGAAGTGAGAGGGAGCTCTTGAGTGCCAACAAAGAGCAGGAGATGGAGATTGCTGAGCTCAAGCTTCAGCTCCAAGACAAGAACAGAGAGGTGATGATCAGCCCTTGCGCCACTGCCTTAGTGTTAGTTAATTGATTAATTACCTTTAGGAAATGCAAAATCTATCAGATTGAATTCTGGGCAATGACACCATTGTTTTTGAATGCCTAAGATGTTAATAAAGACGGTATTTGCAGGTTGAGAAGCTCAAAGACTTGTGCTTGAAGCAAAGAGAAGAAATTAAGTCATTGAAGAGTGCAATACTGTTCCCAGATGTCATGAATTCTCAACTTAAAGATATTGTAGAGAAGCAAGGTTCGGAGCTGACACAAGCCAAACAGCTAATCCCAACTCTCCAAAGACAGGTCACTTCTCTCACAGGACAGCTCCAATGCCTTGCCCAGGATCTTGCTCAGGTAATTCTCACAAACAAACACTGCATTCAAATTATGGACATATGTTTAAAATTAATGATTATTATTACAAAATTTTGTTCAAAAGGATGGATTTCTGCTACTTTCCTTGAAATAAAAGTCTTAACCCTCTATGCAAGAGAATGCAATGAATTTGGTATTTATCTGCTAGCTTAATTTGCTTGATGTATGGAATGAAAATTTACTAAGCAATATCTATCATAATCCATATCAAGTAAGAACCATTACAAGGATTCCTTATGTTAGCATGCACTTGAACAGGTGAAGGCAGATAAGTATTCTGCCAGGGCATTTCACCAGCGGCACGGCAGCTCTCCCAGGACACCCAGATATGATCGAGAAGAGCCTTCTGATTCTTTGGTAAGAATTTAGATACGATATCATACTGTTAGTGCCTATTCTGTCACTAGAACAAGGACCGGTTTCATTCTTAAGTTGCAATCCACTGAAACTGAGTTTATTTCTTTTCCGTTCTAGTCTTGATAGCTTGGAAAATAGGAAAGCCATGTGACCCAAGGAAGTCATTACTCTTGACTTCAGTGCTTCTACTGGTTCTAATATTGAACAACATTTCAGGAATTCAGTTCTGCTGATGCGACAACTCCTGGTAGTCCAGATGACTTGTTCCTCGAAGATTTAAATCCCTGTTTAACACCTTATTATTCCAAGACAAAGTCCAAGGTATACAAACAATCTTAAAACTTTTAATGATGTTCATCTCCATTAGTAGTTAGTACTTTTACACGAGGCACCCCCTACATGAGTAATAGTTGCTTGAATGAACATCTTGCAGGAATTCGATGAGATAGGCTATGACTCACCACATAATGAATCCTTATCCACGAACAATAAACAAACGTTCACTGAGGTCGGATTCAGTTCTCGCAGCAAGAGGTTGTCCAAGAGTTCAGATTGTTACCAGGATTCCAATAGAGGAAGCTCCATGGCCCGGACAAATCGCAGATCAGATGAAAGTACAGGCTCATACCGAAAGCAAATGCATCATAAACCTTTCTAATTGCTTGGTAGCAAGTCAGATGAGCATTCATTTCATCTTATTTTCAATTTTTCACCTTTCCCTTTTCCTCTTTGCCCCTCCTTTTTGTTGGATTATGGATCATAGTTTTGGTTTGAGTCAAAATTGTTAGCCCCAGGTGTACATGGAATGCTTTAAGCGCATCAACAAGGGAAGATATTTGTCAAGTTAAATCCATGTTCAGGATGCGTTATGGGTCTGGGGCTACAATGTAATGCCAATGAAATGTTGTCGTAATGTAATTTTCGTTGCAATATTTATATAATAAACTGTTTTATCAAGCATTCGAAGTTCAAACTATTGCAGCTCCTACATAAGATCTGAATTGTAAAGATAGAACCAGAAAACCTTGTCAGCCTTCAGGAATACAAGAGATGAGAAAACAATACAAGAACTGGAGGCCAGAATTTATTAAAACCAAGGAAGATGTCTTAACATCAGTTTCTACAACATTGTTTTACTTTGCCAAATTAACAACTCATTACATGATTTAAGGACCTCCTCCATCTTATTCTTCATCAGCTCCTCAAGCCATGCCTTTGCCTTTGCTAATAGCAATTCTGATTATCTGAAAAAGAGCTGCCAAAAAGAAAAATATGGATCACTTCCTCAAGCAAAATGTGTAACTAAATGGTATCCGGCATGAAAATCCCAAACAGATTAATCTTCTACTGTGTAACTGCGAAAATCTTCTGCTGCCCACTACACAGAAACCATTTTGCAGAGCAATGAAGAATGCAAAGAGCAAAAACAAGTGATGACATAAAGAGTTGCTATCAAAATACTGTGCTAGTATGAAATAAAGGCCGAAACAGAGCATACATGATCCAACTACCACAAAGACAAAAAACCCCAGCAGAATTGGGCCGACGGGGTAGCCATATGCTTTCTTGGTTGAACTTTCTACAGATCCCCTCCTTGATATGTTCTTCTGAAACCTTGCAACCCTCCTTTCCGCAAGGCGTTTTGAGGTAGTCTGTCCAATGCAATGTCACAAATCATTCATTTTCAAAGGCCACCATATTTCCAAAGGTTTCCTTGATAAAAGATTTTGGTATGCATTATGCAACACATCATTTAATGGGATCAACAAAGACGGATTAGATTAGAAGCAGGAAAACTCAACATGCAGTGGGATCAACCATAAATACCGTCTCATGGATTCGTGTTGATAATAACAATCGAGGTAAAAAACGAATAAAAAACACTGTTTCGCAAGGAATAGAGAGCGAACAAATACAAGGCAATTCCAACCGAGAACAGGAGATATTTGATCAGTTCAATAACGTTGTTATGAAAACAACAGAAGACAAATGAAGACAACAACGTGAAACTCACCATTTCCAGATGTTGTTTTGCGTTGGTTGAAGCAGCGAGGTTGTGTCAGACAGAGAGAAGAAAGAAGAAGAGGGGGCTGACAGCCGTCGTTTTATAAGGAAAACGTGGGACTACTGTCCCTGCTTTTCTATATGTACGTGGTTACAAGGGAGCCTGGGACGGTTACTGCCCCTACTCTTTGAATACAAGTTTTGGTAAGTAGCATTGCCAATAAAAGAATGAGCTTAAAAGGTTTTCCCCTTTTTCTTTCTCTTTCCTTCCATTTATGAAGATTTCTTTTAAAGAGAGAAAAAAAAATCAGTACTTGGATTCTTGTTTCTCCCTTAATTATTTGCTTTCCATAGATTTTTCTAACCTATGCCGCTTAACCTTTTTTGCATAATAAGCTCATAATTCGTTGGCAATTCAAGGCCTCTAGTTATCGTGGCAGATAAAGCAGCTCGTCCTGCTATTTTGGTTACCAGCCAAGCTGCTTGCTAGAGGAGTTAACGTTCACAACTTTCGAGACCCACTGCTCAACGATGTTCATAAATGATAAGATACATATACAGTATCAATCTCAACCCAATTAAAGCGAAGACATGAATTTTGTCACTTTCCTCCATTAAGTAAGAATTCTTACATGTGAAAAACATTGTAACAGTGGGGGCAGCACCCAAACCTGTTTGATTATACAGAAAACAAGAATAGCATGTTTTGAATCAAATAAAAGAAGAACATGTACAATACCAAAGGGGACTTTATTTGGACCAAAAAGAATAAACTGAGGCTACTATCAAGGGGGGAAAAGGAAAGTACGAGCATAAATTAATTCTTTCTTTTTCGTCTAACTAATGTCTAGTTCTGAGCATATACATAAGATAACTATGTGATGATAAAACAATTTTCTTCAAAACAAATTCTCTCTTTACTCTATCAAAATTGGCCTCCTGGCAAATGCAATTTTCAGATGAGCAAAAGACCGGCAGAGATGTGTCACAGCTGAGAACATGAAACTCATGGAGAGACAACAAACGGAAGTTCCCACGTTGGACAGGACCAGACGCTAGAGAGTCTTTACCAATTGTGCAACTGTGCTGTGATACTTTTTACAACAGGGTGGTATCCTGTGTGCATGTGCCTTTTAGCTTTTTCTGAACCGGGGTGCTCAAGCCACTCATCATACAAGCCTTTCACCACAGGGTTCTTAAAAGGATCAGCTTCCAAAATCTATAAGGCATACAGAAGAATCAATTAAAGCAGAACTCTAAAAGAATTCAAATAGAATTTTAAAAAGGGAGCTTGAGTGTATATGCATGTAAACATTAGGCTTCATGTAGCATTTGAAATCAGTTCACTTTTAGCAGTAAAGCATTGCAAGCATAGTTAATGCTTCAATTGCTGTTGTAATGAAATATTTAGCTTGATGAATTATTAGATTTACTAAGTGCTATTAGGAATGGAATTAGCCATTGAATCTGCAACAAAACATTCAAATCAAGGTGAACCATGGAGAGTCCATTACTCTACCGAATACAAATGTACCAAGGCTAATACAGTAACCAAGGTTGAGGAACAATACGAACCCAAAATTAGAAGAATACCAAATTAAGTGCAAAAAACCTAAATACATTTGCACGCAACCAATTGTAAATGTAAGGTTGACCACATGGTTTATCACAGGATGAATATCACAAATCAGTTATATGCTCGAGGAAGATGATAACATGTACATAAATACTAATGGTATAGGCACTACTTGATTCAAAGAACCAACAGCTCAAAATTACAGAATTTTCTCTGAGACAACAAGAAAATGCTTAATACAGCTTAACATTATAAATGGGTGTTGTCCAAACGATGACACAAATCTTTCTTGAGAATAAATGCATAACTCAAAACAGAAACTCACATTTTCCATGTAAATGGCTTCCAATGATTTGATTAAATCCTTTGGAGATTGTCCTGGCTTGGGCTTGATTTGACCTCCACCATTCAAACAACCTGCATATATTAACCATACCTAACTGTTATGCCTAACCTGGATTTCCATTATCTTATAATAAGTTACAACTGAATGTATCAAAACCAATTCAATATCCAAAATAAAAGGAAACAAGGAAACAAAAACCTGAAGGACATGCCATGACCTCCACATATTGATAATCACATTTCCGTGTTTTAACTTTCCTGACAATGTTTTGCAGGTTTTGGAAGCCATAACATAGGGCAAATTTCAGCACAGTTCTACCCTCCACCTACATTGTAGCTTGTCAGGATATTAAAGTAGAAGAATAACGTGGCGATGAAGTCGCTGCCATGAATTTTTTCAACCATATGTGTCAAATAATAAATAAAGCCATGATTTAATTCATCAAGAATGCAGCCCTTATAAACTGGGATCACAGAAAGGGCCCTCTTCAGGTTCAAGTACATGTTTTATTTATGTTCAAACTTCTTTAATGCTAACAAAATACTATCAAATTAAAAAGCACAACTTACTTCTAGAGTCAATTCTTGGAAATCAGAATTTCTTATAATTCTAAAGTCCAGTGGGCCATCAATTTCTCTTCCAAAGAGAACTTTTGCAGCATATCGGAAAACGGTTTCCGCATAACCACCAGAGCCTCCAGAGACCCCATAAAGATGTCCTTCATCATCCACATTTGTCAAGCTGTAGGATGATAGCAATATTTTTCATTTGTAAGTAGTAGCAAGGTGGCATAAAACATTGCTTTAAGGAGGATTATTGTGGTGCTTACATTCTATCTAGAGGCGACTCTTCCAAGGCTTTAAAATCAACTTCTTTCAACTGTAAAAATTAACCAACTAAATTTTCTTTTGAAAACAAGCTATCAAATAAACAATGTAAAACTGTTACATTAGAATGCACATAAAAATTAAAATAAAGTGAAACCCTGACTTCACCTGTATCAAATCTAAAAGTTCTCCAGATGTCAAGACTGAGTCAACCTCTGTGATACAAACACCTTCATTTGCATGGCTTCCATCATCAGATCCCACCTCAGAAACAAAGTCCCCCCTGGCAGCCTCAAGCTTCTTGTCATAACATGGCATCACAGTTACATGGTAAACCTCCTCCGGCCTATCAAGTAAAATGAATAATCTAGTCATTTGAGCATTAAGGATAATATATAGTTTTGGCATTCTCCATTTCCTTCAATATTTGAATAGTTTGAAGATATAAAACTAGAAGCTTTCATAAGATCCCAAGTGGAGATTGGCCCTGCTGATGTCACCCTATAGATGAAAAACTAACTTTTTAATTGCACTAAAATAGAGGAAAAAGAGAAAAAACAGTGGAGAGAGGCTCTATGACCAACAATTGTCAAAAGCTAGCAATTCTAACAGTCCTTTGCTCATTCTCATTATTTTGGACGTATAATAAAGGCTATGAAAAGGACTTCATTATACACATAAATACAAACAAACACTACACATTTATATTCCATTTTCCTTCTGATTTGTGTGTGTGTGTGTGTGTGTTGTGTGCATTATGATCAAATTTCTGTTCCCTTTGTAGTTTCTTTTCTGGCATTAGAAGGATGGGAAGCTTAGTAGTGGTAAACACTATGTTGTAATTCAGTCATAACCACTGAACTTAACAAGATACTATAAGTTTTCTTAATGAATGAAACTTTCAAAGAATTGCTACTCATGCAATTCATCTGAAATTTAAAAGCCAAATAGCAATTACCACAATAGATTACAAGTGTTAGGTTGCCTCTCCTAGCAGAAATGTTTATTCATAGCACAATCATGACCAAAACGAAGCTCAAGTTAGATGTGAGACGGTACCTGAAACCCATTGTTTGACATACATGATGCTTAACAGTAGCTCCCATTGATTGCTGAGGACTCTTCACTGATGATATGTACGGTAAGATATAGGATCCAAGTTGTTTTTCAGCATAGCATATCCAACCTGCAATTAGAGAAAGATGCACAAAAACAACACTTTTGGTCACAAGAATCCTATACATTATTATGTCATCCCTGCGATAGTCATCTTCTCCATACATAATGCACATTCGTGTGCGTTAGAATGTTGGGGTTTTAGGGAGAGAATGATGCTATTAAATGATTGCCAAAGTTTGCAGGCAGATCTATACCTGGGCATGATGAGGAGAGCATTGGAAGTGAGGATTTAGTTTTCGCGTCATCAGCTGCTTGGCTTTGTTTAAATCGAGAAATGAACTCATTACAAGTTTCAATCAGTGCTAAGTCTCTACTACAACTAGTATCAAACACAGCCTTTACTCCCAAGGACTTTAAAAAAGTTGTGAGTTTCTTGAAAACCTGAATATAAGAAAAGACCTTCCATAATTAGAAGCATGCACCAATAACTTAAATAACATTTAGGTGACCTTTCTTGCACTTCAATAGAAATGAAAACACAAAACCTATAAATAATTCATAGATGTTGGGAATCTTTTGGGTTGTGGCAGATTTAATCAAAAGGAATTACAAGCTTGAAAGGGGTGTGAATACTTGTGTAGTAAGAGAAAATTGATTGATTTAACCCTCTCTGGCTTTTGTTTCTTTAACAGAAGAGCATGTCAGGGAGTAGAAATGCCACTATCAAAGCCCTTGGATACTTGGTTACACACTTTTCTTTTTTCGTTTAATAGGCAGCAGCACATGAAAGTAGATGATGCATTAGAATTTTATTAATCACATGCTCTAAAAGGATTGGACTTGTTCTTGGTTTGGCACCTCCTTGGTGCACTTCAATGATTGGTTTCCTCACCAATGAGCAGCAAAACAGAAAGGGGAATTTTTCTCACCTAGCAATGAATATAGTGGGCCAGCATATGTACCCAAAAGAAAAAAATCAAGAAGAAAATGAGGGGGATACAGTTTCTGATGTTTTCATACCTGTAGTGGAGGGATGCCAAAGTAAGCTGCAAGCGAGGCCCTTGACTGAGGAGAGAGGGATACAATAATAGCCTTCCCTTTATTAATATTGGAAAGGAATTCATCTAAGCTTTGCTTCTCAAGCATTACAGTCTCTGCTGAGGTTATGCAGCCGCTGCACCATCGCAAAGAAAATTTACAAACATGTCTTTGATGTAAGTAAACAATAGATAAAAACTTGCAGCACTTATCAAGAAAACAATTGGAAAGTCATAAATTAGGCACTCAACAACCATTTTTTGTTTTACTTCATTTTAGTAGCTCCTATTCATCTTGTATTTCTGATTGTAATTGGCACGAACTAGAATTAGCCTTAAAATATACAAAAAAGTTCCTTCCAATGCAAAACATAAGCAATTTAAAAGACAAGAACCATGAGTGAAAAATAGAGGAAAACATTACCTGCATGCCAAGCAGTCCTTAAGCGAAATTTTTACTGGTTCAGATTGCTGACTCTTAACAGTTGAAACCCTCACCTTCACCAAAGTAATTCAAAAAAAAAAAAACTTAGTCAAAGCAAATAAATTTATGAATTCTCTTCTACTGTTAAGTAATATGATAATTAGTAGAACATAGCTTCTGTGCAGCAGCTAAAACTAAAATCAAAACACCAAATTACAAACCAAAAAACAACTCTTGCATCTAATTCCGCATCAAATTTAGCAAAAGTCCCAAAAAAAAGGTTGATACTTGAGGAAAGAAAACGAAGTTAAGCCAAAAGTAAAAGTACCTGAGGCTCAGGCTTGTTAGGGGTTGCTCTGAGTCCTTTAAGAGAAACAACGCAGGCTTGAGACGGAGCTATGAAATCGCTGAGATCTCCGATTCTGAGAGTCGGCGAAAACTTCTCCGACATCGCTTAATTTCTCAGCTCTTATACACAACCGCCTAAATTCAATTCCCCAAAATCGATACCTGAAGCTGCGAGCTTATTCGAAAATCAATATCTTTATAATAAAATTACGGATTTTTATTAAGAAATTAATTAAAAGTTTAGGTTTTCTACGGAGCTTGAAAGAGAACAGGAGTTTTAGAATCGCTTGGTAGGTCAAAGGCGGTGACTTTACCCGGGGGAGGGAGGGAGTGAGGAGTCGAGCAAAGGCGTGTATGTTCGGGAGTTTTTGATTCTGTGAATCACCAGAAATTGTTTTACGTATTCAGTAGCCAACAAGATTCGAGCTTTGTGCGGAAAGATGAAGTCAAAGTTATTGATGCGGTAGGATTGTCCAATACGATCTCAAACTTGTCCTTTTGTCGGTAGATCTGGTTGTATTGGATGTTATCCCAAGCTTTCGATGGCACGTGTCGGCCACGGTCCACTAGTACGAGCAAACACAAATTCCCTTTCTATCTTGTCTGTCTTAAAGAACAGAACTTTAAATTAAAACAAAGAAATCGTTTTTAAGTTTCAATTTGATTCTGATTTGGAAGGAGAGGAGACCATGCCAATGTCTGCTTTCTCATAATAATATTACTCTATTTTAATAAATTAAATCAATTAATTCGAAAATATAATTCAATTAATTTGGTTTTCAAAAGGGTTGTGCTTGTGAAGAGCTGAGCAAGCATCTATTCCAGGCCACCACCATGAACTTATTTATTGATCATAGTCCTTTAGATAGATAGGCATTAAGCCTGTTGGTTTTTTAGCCTTATAGGGCATGCTCTGTTCCTCAGGACGATGGAAAACTAGGCAGCTAACTCCGTTGGTGTTTCAACTGAAACCTATATTCGTTGATCAAGTGTCTCATGGTGTTTCAACTGCTGGAACACAAGAAAGAAACTAAGGGACTTTTTTAAGTATTAATCTCTACAGAATCCAGCCTTGATTTATTGTCAAATGGGAGACATAACTCCCACTTTTTTTCTTTATAATATATGACAAAGATAAAATATTACAGAACCTTGAGGAATGAGCTTGTGAAACAGGGCAGTTTGGCTACCTAAAAACTTCAGCACATTAGTTTCTACCTCCTGAAGTTGTTCTTGGCTTTGGTGCTGCCATACAAGCGGAAGAGACTGAAAGCAGAGATACAAGATAGGACCACCATGCTAAGGCTAACTAGCAATGCCATTACTATTCCTTCCCCGACTTGGTTACAGAACTTCGCGTACATGTTGCATATCTTCAACCATTGAAGCTCTGTTTGCCCGAGCTTGGCAAATACTGCTGACTGTGCAGCAGCTCCCACAGCAGCCACAGTCAAGTATGCCATGGCCTGCAAAAGAAAAACATGATATGTTAATGATTAGATGCTCACATCCCATCAATATACATGTGTTTTCAACCGTTAGAGTAATTGCATCTTGCAAGCATTCTTTCGGGCTAGATGGTGCTACCACAGAGAAAATGGTCTCTAAATCAGCTCTTTCCAGGAATGTGATAATTGATAAATATTAAAATCAGCCCGAAAGGTCTGGTTATACGATATAACTGGCCCTGATATGGCACCAAATCAGGCCTCCTCTATCCTTCCCTCAAATAATCCTCATGGTCAAAAATAGAAGGGGGTGCTGGGAGGTTGTTAAGGTATGCATTAGAATCAAAAGAACCCAACATACCAAGCTGAATCCTGCAAAGTCTGACTACAACATAATTCTCAAAATATTCATGAAATATTAACAACATTATTTTCAATATACATTATTAGCTAGCATCTTGCAACAGAATTTTCTTCTTTCCCCACCAGCATTAGTTAGATTTTCGAAACCGCGTGAGGATTCTGTCTGGTGCATTAAATCATGGTTTTTCTCAAACCAGCGTACGCTCCAACGTTTAAGATCGAGCGTTACCTGTCTATTTACTACGTAGAACAAAAGGAGATGGAAAAATTAGCTCCATTCTGACTATATCATGAATGAGAAATAAATTCCATACAACACCACCAATGACCTGCCTTTTTTAATTCTTATGCAAGACTTAAAAGTCCACTCATGTTGGTTTACTTTCAACAAGCACTCAATGAATTTCAGAAGGGCTATTTCATATTTATTGCAACGTGTGTGTGTGTGTGTGTGTGTGTGTGTTTTTCATCGTTTGGTGGGATAGTTGTTTCTTTACATTGATGATCTTCATCTTCCCCTCATCATTATTTGCTGCTTACATTCTCAGACTGCTGTTGCTATTGTAAGGTTTTTCAAGACTCTACCAGGCTTAACATCAATTACCTACCAGGCTTCCACCCTGTCGAATACATTAACTTGAACATTAAATGCTAATGTACGGAAAACCTTGACTTGTTCTCTTTTGGTGGAAGCCTAGCGTTCTAAAAAACAAAGGGGGAAATTATTGTTGTCTTTAATTTATTGCACCTACTCTAGCTAAAATTTTGTTATTGCCCTTAAAATTTCCTTTTTACAATGTTTTTTTTTATCTCCTTCTACTAAGGATGCAAGTTAGCATGCAATGAGCTAAACCCATGCAAATGGGATAGTCTGCCTAAATGAAACCCTTCAACCAAGTTTAGAGATATGGACAACTGAGAACCTGAAACATAACTTTACCAAGAACAACTACTAGCTGAACAAGATGCAGGGTATTAGCTCTTAGGCTCTTCCATGTATGCTATGGAGGAAATGCATGCAAAGAGAAGATCAAGCAGGGACGCACAGTACCTGATCTCCAGAGAAAATGGCCCAAGCCAAAGGCTTGCTGAAAAGCACACTTCCTCTCACCATAGCCACAACACAACGCACCCCTTGTACCAATGAGTAGGCTGCAGCTACCCCATTGGCTACCACCAAAAACCTGTGAACAAGAAAAGCAAGAAAGGTATGAGTTTTACATGGAAACCGACGGGATGCTCAGTCTCGGAGGGGTAAACTAGAGAGAGACAGAGAGTAGAGGATCTTACACTAGAGCTTTCATGTCTGTAAACCTAGCTTTCTTCTGAATTGAGAAGATTTCTTTGACTTGAGTATCTGTTACCACAAGAACAGCTGCAAGAACACTTAAGACACATATCACACACCTCAAAACCAACTCCGCAACTCTCACTCTCCTATCAATCACCTTCAGATTAGTGCCATGGTATACAGGGACATTCCCAGGACTAACACCAACACCCAAATAATTCATCTTCTTGCCAAAAGGCCAACACTCCACAGAGAAGGAAGAAACAGACCGGCACCAGACAAAACTCTCAAGCACAAAGCACGCACACCTAACCAATAAGGCAACCACCCCCCACTGCTTAAATAGGGCTGCGCCAAACTATAGCTTAAAGAGTAATTAGCCTTCCCCACTTTATGAGTGGTTACCCTTTTTTTTTTCTTTAATTATAAAAAAGGAAATAAAAAGGAGTTTTGTTTTGCTTTGCTGGACGACCGAGGCCTGCCAAGTGCCAAGTGTGGTCAAAAGCTAGAGGCTCTCAAAACGCATGAGACCTCAAGGCAAAGGGCACCTCATCTTGTACGCAGTCGGGTATTAATCTTGCATTTAAGGCGTATGTGGGAAAGCTAAAGAAGAGAAACGAAACTATGGCAAAGAGAGACAGAAGCAACAGGGATGCTTTCTTGAGAGTTGTTTTTCTAGGAAGGGGCAACGGTCTTGTTGTTCCAATAAAGGGTTCAGATAAGGTGAGCGAGTGCCTTAAATCCTTTCCCACTGATCAAGGCTGATGGTTGAATTTAATGAGTGGCCCCATTTCTTTTTGAATAGACCACTCTTGAAAAGAAACAACGGAAACTAACTCTCCTTCGTCTGAAAGGTAGTAATAAAACAATCTGTCAAAGGAAATATAAAAAGAAGAATCTAAACACACCAGAGGAAAGCTCGTCAAATGATTAAGGTAGCATACTAGATATTAGGTTCTTGCCTCTTCTTTCATGGTGGGGTCTTTGGTTGGTTGGTGTTACTCACTCGATGATGTGCTTGTGCTTGTGCTTGTGTCCACATGTAACCCATGATGTAATGACTCGGAAGTCCTCGGAGGAGACTTTCTCACAACACCACGCGCCTTTCAGCAGCGTTGGACTAGGATTGCCTTTGGTTTGCAGCAGAGCCAAGCAAGATTTCCAATCTCCAGGACACTTGTTCAATGCAATAATTCAAGGCTAACACGCGTCATGGATGCGTGTGGCGGATGCCAGAAGCTTGTAGGATGAGAGGATGGCGCCATTGATTTTTAACTCCGGGAAAATCCACTTCCCAACTACTGCATTCCATTAGCAAGGCAAGCAACTTTGTATTTTACTTTCCATTCAAATCTCACTCTTTAAGTGACTCGCCTTGTCCCATCAGTTTTAGCCCAAGCTACCCCTCCTTTTGCAACCATGTTTCCTCCATTGCCATTTGCCGAAGTTAAAAGGAAAGGAATCTCGCATGTTTGTCTTCTCATTCTTATCCATTGATCTGGCATTGTTAGCATGTGTGCATAGCTGATAGCAGTACATAGATCTTCTGCCAACAATACATATCATGTTTCTACACTTACTTTTTTTCTCACTCGTTCCCCTCAATATCTGATTAAAGTCAACAAAAATCCAAATGCAATCATAAGTTTCAACTATGAATTTATGATTAAAGACAAATGAATGAAGATATGTAATCATTTTACAGGAAACAATCATCTAGATTTTGACCACTGGTACATCCTTCAGCTTGTCTTCAACAGCATTTTGGTTATGCTACCTTCCATTAATTATTCTCTTCATGAGTAAGTCCCAGAGCACTCGATGCATACGGTACTCCTTTGTTTCTTTGCTTATTGTCTTAATTTGCTTGCCAAAACTAATTGCAAAGTTGGCTCGAAAACTAAGTGGAATTCCAATGGGAGGAGGGGTTGGACTTTCGAAGAAGATAGTGATAACATCGGCCATACTTTGTCCAACCACATGTAATACGTGAGCAATACAAAAGCACGGCATTTTTATCTTTCATACATACATCTGGGGTCTGGCCGTGTGCAATATACAAGGTGATGAAAGAGATTGTGAAGACATTGAAAAAGTATGTATCAACATTCGTTGAATGGGGATACTTTCAGGATCTTTTGGTTTGTGAGCAACACGATACTAAATCTATCCCTTCAATCTTCTATAAATGCGTATGATATTAACTCTTTTTTCTTTTTTGTTGAAAATTGAAATGACACTACTCAAGAAGCTTAGCCTCCATATCGAGGAAATCTCCAGGATGGATGGTTGTTGTTTGATGATAACAGAGACCAAGGAGATCAGGAGAGCATGGTATTCAGTTAAGATAACTTGGGGTGGAAAGAAAGCACTACCATGGGGTTGGAAGTTGAAATCTCTCAAGGTGAGAGGAAGTCCAAAACCTGATTTCATATTGAATGGTGGAACACACACCAGGAAAGAAAATTACAAGCCTGAAACAGGAGAGGAAAGGGTAAAAGGTAAAAGAAAAACTAGTATTTTATGTTATGTCTCTGCTGAAAATTGTAAGAGATCACGCGTAAATTTCCGACAGAAACAAGTGTATTGCAAAGACTTTGCCCTCCACCTAGGGAACAGATTCAAATTTGCATGAATGGTGGCCTGTCAACAAAGAAAGAAATCGGAATAGTCAGTTGCAGCTAGAATAGAATTGCTGAAACAGGCAATCAACAGCCAAACCCACCCATGCAACCACATTAAATAAAGTTGAGCACTAGTCGTAATTACTGCAACTTCTCTGTTTGTTATTTTTTCTTGAGGTTTAGGCTTGTAACACTAGCTAACGCATAAGCTAAAGAGTTGGCTTCTTGCATGGCATGAATGAACTGGCATTTAGAGCAATCAGCAGCTGAACAAACGATATAATGCATAAACTACCCCACTCCCATGAACAAGTCTCAGACTTTGTAATTTCCTTAACAACCATCAAAGCATCACTTTCAATTACGAAGTTCTTAAAACCCTTTATGCAGGCCATCTCCAAAAATTTCTAAGTTTACAGGATGAGATAAATCATGAGATGATCAAGCAGAATTGCAGCGTAGGAATGTGAGTGTAATCTAGCACTAATGTACATCCTTTTTCGTACATAGAAATCTAGTACTAATGTAATTAGTTCAGTATAGGAAAAGCCAATAGATATAAATCCTGTGGTAAAAGTAGAATGAGAGTTTAAGTAGAAATCTCACATTCGAATTAAATCTGAAAGAATGAAAAAAAATTGACAGGATTATGATCTTACTTGGGTCAAGATCTGCGATCATGGCAGCAGAATTGAAGTAGCAAGTTGCTCCTTTGTTCTTGAACTTCTGATAGTAGTTGTTGAAGGCATAAGAGGCATGGTCCCTTATAGTGTTTGGAAGATAACAAGGTTGGTTCACTTGTATCTTACTGCAATCTGCACCTCCCTTCCCACAAGCCCAATCAAGGGCCTTCTGCAACTCATCATCTGGAGTTTGCTCATCAGCTATGCACCATTCCCTGAATTGAGCATCTAGCATGACCCAAAAATTTATATAACTAAATTAATTTTACTTGATCACGATCAAAAACCATGAAAAGATCAGTAAAGTAACTAAATATGGCATTACCCGTCTTCTGTAAAATTAAAGAAACAAAGCAAAGAGCAAGCAGAGTCCAATGTAAGGCGGATGGCATTGTGGCTGATTCAGGGGGAGTTGCAGACGTGTGTATCTAAGACGGCGGGTTGGGCATTTGCCTTACCACCAGTAGCTAGCTAATGGCTATAGATGAAATAGCTTTGAGAAGGAATTCTTTGCTTTTGTCAAAGTAGAGATTCCTCTCTTTTTATGTTCCTTCCATCTTACGATTAATAATACAATCTTTGTTTTGGAATGGTCAAACTACCTGGATTGTTCCCAATCTGGGAATTATCATGACAACGCAAAAATGGACCAGAACTGTTAACTTTTTTGGTTAGGATTTCCCATTACTTTGACACTCGGTTTATAGTAGAGTTTATGTGTTTAAGCTTTAACTTGTAAGGGACCTATCAAATAATTTGAGCATCAAACTGTCCCTATTCTGAAGCAAACTCATAGAATAAAGGCGTTAGATCTTCCTTTTGTAAGTCCCAACAGTTCGTTTCAATCAAAGCGCGAGTGGCACGTCAGGTCAGGATTCAGGCATGCATTTTTATAGTATCCCCAAATTCTATAATATCGAGTTCTTGATGAAAAATGGCAATAATCAACAGAAATCCCCTTCACAAGATTCACGTGTACGCATGGTGATGAATGCAGATAGCTCAAGATGAATGCAGAATAGCTATCTTCTGCAATCCATGAAGCCTGCATCTAGACTGCAACACGGTATTTGGATTTGCTGTGTATAAAATCATTACCGTTTCGTTGAAATTTAAATCATAGTACCATGTAGGTATATTTGGATTTAACCATCTAGACAATTGGTAGAGTAATAATTCTGATCAGCTCCAGTCTCTAGGCTTGTTATAAATTAGGAGTACTGTTTCACGCATCCGAACATTGGCCAACGGGAAAAATATCACAGAGACATGGCACTTGCTCTTGGCTTTTTCGCCTTTTGACAGTGATAAGTAATGACCAAGAGTAGCACGTATATGAGGCCAAAAAGCTAGAATATTAGATAATTATATATAGCTAGCTTCATATTATCATATAGCACAAACAGGAAGGCAAATTAATTATATTCGATGGATGATATCCATTACTACTATAATATCACTAACTCTTTCACTATTACAGCACCTAACGAAGTATGGGTTAATTTGTTTACAGGTGAAGGGAGGTATCCACATCATCACAATCCGAATCATCGAATTTCTTCGGAGAGACATGCATAGAATCAGGAGTCTTTGTGGCTGTGGGCAATAAACTCGCAAAAAGTGGGGCCTCCCTGGACTGAAAATCAGTAGCAGAACACCTGTGTTGTGAACCAGACCAGAGGCAGAAAGGCACTTGAGGAGGTGGTGACCTTGGTGGCAAGAAGTGAAAGAACAACCTTGATGGCTCATAAGGCAAGGTGGGGTTGCATTGTTTAGGCTCAGCGTGCTTTCTTAGCAGTTCCCTCTCTTCTCTCATCTCCTTCATTCTCTGCAACTGCCTGAACCTCTCCTGCAGTAGAGCTATGGATGACTGAAAGACAATGGTAGGATCATTAATACTTTCCCTACCCATTTGAGAAGATATGATCTTTTGCTCTTAATTAGCTATAGCTAGCAATGTCTACTGATGCAAGAAAGGCGGTGTAGGTGAAGTACTCTAAGGACCGCTTGAAAGGGTTTACCTGTATTTATAGGATGTTGGCATGGTTACCATGGTATGCTTGAATTAGTTGAAGGCATTTGGTTGTCCGATAAAATTCTAAATGATTTAAAAAAGGGAATAGAATCGGCAGCTAAGCGGCAAAGGTCCAAAAAGAAAAGGTTGCGTGCCCAATCTAAGGGAGTACTTTGGTTAGTGTATGTGGGAGAAGAGGCAAAAGCAAGGCTAAAGGAGAAAAAGTGTGGGGAGAAGAGTCCAAAAGAACGTTGAAACTAGCACATGGAAGGGTATGTTTGGAGGAATAATAGATTGGGGGATGCTCTATCAGCTTGCCCCCAAATCCTGTTTTTAGCTTCGGGGATGATGGGGGTTTTGCAAAGGATATAAATTTTAAAATCTCCATTTTCCACTTCCAAAATTTCCCTCTTTGAGACCATTATTCTTAGCTAACTGTTTAGGGTAAGAGAAGGCACAGAGGTGGGGGCGGTGTGAGGGCTAAAAGACAAGGTTCAGAATAGGGAATAATCTTAGGAGCTCATAATGTTTTGATTGAACAATAATGTATGACAAAGACAGAGATACAAACATTCTCTCTCTCTCAAGATATGTTTTGTCTTGAAGTTTTTGGAAGGGAATGGCATGCACAGATGAAAGCTGTAGATGCCAACAGTGTTGGGATTGGATGCTTCTTTTATGCAGCAGAAGCACCCCCCCCTCTCTCCATTATTTATTTTGTATTAGTTTGCAACTTCGAAGTTTGGAAGAGTGGATTGAAAAGAGACATGGGGCCATAGACAAGGCGTGCTGCTGATATTCCTATTATATCCATCTCGCACTAAAGCTTAATTTATATCATAAAATAATTTCACCTTCTAAGTGGCTACATGTAGCTAGCCTTGTCCATGTTGATGAAATCCCTCAGCTCACACACCAAGCAATGAAGCACAAGGGTCTGGAAATATGTCTGAAATCTAAATAAAACTAGATAGAATCAGCAGTAATGTATAATTTAAGGCATTCAGTTTAACAACTTATGCTTGGAATTTCTGGAATTGGAGTGGGAAAAAGCGCTGACCAATTACCAGCCCGCCCTGAATGAATTATAGGGCAGATTCTCACAACTACATGCATGATGGCGACTCCCTAACACGCAGATCTGGACCTTCTTTTTAGGATACCAGCATGGATTCAATCCTGAATCATTGGTAACTAGCGAGGGATGGACTCAATAACCTGGAAGTAACTCACTATTTCATCATTGGCTGCATTCTGATATAATTGGCTGAATTTGTGTGGAATATTGCTAGAATCTGGCCGTTTGGACCAAACATGAATGGTTACTTTCACTAGAAATTCTCAACGGCAAAAAGGGCAAGAAACCATGGCTCTACGCTTCTATTCGTTTCTCCCCTCTTTCTGATAATGGTGAATCAGAGGAAACTTGCTACTTCAGTTTATGGAAAATAACTTCATGAAAATGAATGTTAAAGTGGTTTATAATTCGTATGAACCAAGCAATCAATGAATTGAATTCTATGCCTTTAAAGACATCTAAACCATGGATGAGCTGAACAGATCATGCTTGATTTTCCCTTGAAAACCAAATCTAACTTTAACTGGAAATCAAATCTGTTGACTTTAACTTCCTCCTCATGGACCATGCATATACTGCGTTTATTCCAAAATTTGTACGGTAGCTGCAATATTCTTGGCCCAAGAAGTGCAATTTCGTGAGGCTAGAGAAGTCAGTAATTAGAAAAATAAGCCCTTTACCAATTTCCCTTCTTGTCCAGTATTTATTGCAAAGTTGCATTGAGTTTTCCTGACACTTGGGGAACAAGAAGAATTCTAATTGTAATTGAGTAGAATAAGATGATATGAAGGAAGCTTATCTAAGACTTCTCTTTTTCAGAGTAGGAAGTTCAGTATCAGAAACTGATACATTGTGATTAACCAAAACATGACATGCAACAGGCAAACGGTCCATAGTCCTGTATAATTTCAATTGGTTTGGTTAGTCTTCACAACTTCTTCATCGATTCAGAGCATGTCTACTCCAACCACTTCAGCTTTCTTCACAACTTACGATTGTAATCTGAGGCAAGCGGCACGTCTCCAAGTTAAAATGACAGCAACATGTTGGAAGGAGGAGTTTAGGCCTAAATGCAAGAGGTGAGCCCAAAAATGAGTGCTCCAGAGCAATCAGAAACATAGTTTTTTAAGAAGCCCAAACCTGAAGGCCCAACAAAAGAAGCGCTCCTTCTGATGACAGGGGGAAGTTCTGTTTTCCCATTTGGTCTTTGACTAGAGAGTCATCGAACTTTAGCAACACAACCAGAGCGACAGCGCCCGCAAGAGGGGAAGAAAGAAATATCAAAGATGAACACAGACATAACTGCTTCGGCAAAACCAGAGTACCCAGTTATAGATCGAAACCCTCCTTTCACCAAAGTCGTTGGCAATTTCAACACCCTCGATTACCTCCGTTTCGTTACTCTCACTGGCGTCTCTGTCACCGTTGGATACCTCTCTGGTAACTCTACGTTTATCTACATACCATAATAACAAAAGTTTTGTAATTACTAGCATTGAAATGCAATTGGGTCTTTTCTTTTTCTTTGCATCTATTCCCAGAATATAATTTTTTTGTACATTTGACTGAAACGGAAATAGGTTATGAGGTTAAAATTTAAACCTTTTTCTGGTCCTTTTTGGTATTCATTGGTGCAGGGATTAAACCGGGATTAAAAGGGCCGTCAATGGTGACAGGAGGGCTGATAGGGCTTATGGGAGGGTTTATGTATGCCTACCAGAACTCAGCGGGTCGACTCATGGGATTTTTCCCTAATGAGGGTGAGGTTGCTCGTTACCAGAAACGTGGATTCAACAACTAAGCTTCTCTCTTTCCCTTTGATTCTCTATTTTGTTATAAATCTTTATGTCAAAGACATTTTGGATGATAAATGATTGTCAATAATCAGATTGCTTTGGCTGATTTCGTGTTGCTGATTTCAAGGCTTTTGTCTTACTGCTGTATTTTTAGAGGCTTTGAAAAGCAACTTAAAATCCAAATGAAATGGAGTGTTATCCTTTTTCCTTGTCATTGAATGTTTGTTAGAAGGAACCGACCTTGTTTTTATTCTTTTTGTGTTGTTTTGGTGAATGCAATTTGTTTGAATGAACTTCAGTTTATTATGACTGCATTCATGTTTGGGATGCAATTGATCGATACAAAACTGATATTCTGTCACCAGCATAACTAAGACATACATTCAAGTAATCATTGCTGTGTTTTCCCTTACAAGTTAATTTAAATTGCAAATACTTTAGTTGATAGTGCAAGTATTGGGAAGGAGACATAAAACTTAATCTTCATCCATATTCTGTTATATTAGTTTCATTCTATGATGCCATTCTCAAAGTTAAAGTCAGCTTTGTAAAGTGTGTTATACGGTACTATAGGTTG